AGAACAGACTTACAGAACTATTCACTGCGGTGGCCAAATAACATGGTCCATCATTTCCACCACAGTTAACCGCAACTAGCTATGCCTGGCGCATATGATATCGTCACGAAGACAAGAAAAGAAGGATTTTAGATTGTATAAGCCACTAAGCTCCTAGTATAGATCTTACTCGCCATCTCTTTGATCAAGTCCGACTCAGCCATGGTGACACACGTCCTTGGGAAGACCAATAGCTTGCTAGTAACAACTAGACTGACATCGAAGAGATCAGGTTGTAAAACAGAGAGATTCTTTCGGGCTCGAGCAGAATACTACCATAGCAACTCCGTATTCCCAGATGTGTGGCCGGTGGATAAACACAGATACAACAGAAATAATAGTTCGACAATGAACATTAACCAGTTGACAGAGGAGTGTCTGCTTGGTAACCTCAAAATTATCTAGTGAAATTTCTCTGAGGCCATATTAAAACATACAATAACACAGATTACCTAAGTTTGATTTTCGAGAGCAAATCCCTCGGTATCAAAGAAACCTCAGCAACAGTCCCAGAATAGAGGATACGTTGTCACCAGTTATCCCCCGAGAGAGTAATAACTGGAAAGGATCTCTCGAAACTGTATAATATGAAGACTCGTGCGCTGCCTGATACTCTGTTGTCTAGTCCTCAATACATTACTAATGGTATGAAAACTGTTATTGAGAGTGCACTAACTGCAATAATAACGCAGCTGGTTGGATGATCATCAATAGCCATTGCAGAGATTGGAGCTCTCCCCACAGCAGTGCCGCAACTACAAGATTTATACCTAGGTCCTGACAACGTTACCCAGCCATTGGCTGCTAGCTTCCAGGCCAACACTGTATGCACGCAGGTGTGTTGCTAAGATCTAGAGCGGGATTCAGTCAGAGGGTGTCTCAGATAGTATCTTGGTTTTGCGTATAATTGGACCAGTCTTACCTCACTCAAATAGACCCATGGAGCTGAGGCGCTGTATCCAATGACATTCAAAATCCATTGGTACTGAGGTGCATCCGATCTGGGTCTAATGAAACACAGTGCCATAATCTTCGAACTATTATATCTCCAGGCTTTCCGGGGTTCGTGACAGGCGGAAATATTAATATGTGGTCAATATATTCAAGACGGTGCTAGGCCTCGCCAAGACGGGGGTTGGATTGGTAGACAGGGCCTATAGCACTAAAATATACTTATATTTATGAGCTGAAATCCATGGTGTCCGCTTGGCTGGTCCGCTGACTCTAAGATTGCAGGAGTGTGGGGATGAGACCAAGCGATGTCTCAGAAGATGTACGGATCAAATTAATCTATATGGATCTTGGGAACTGCGAGTTTGTGGTGTCGCACTGCGGGGTATGGACATATAAACCTCTGCCATCCCCCCCAATAGAGCTGGAAACTAGCAATTCGAGCAATCGTCAGTATATATCTTGTCTCTGGTCGCTTCATAATCCTTCTATCTCCTTTTCCCACCATGAAGTTTACTGCCATCACGCTTACCCTGGTCGCTCTTGTCGCAGGTGCCAGTGCTGCATCCTGTCCATCCCTGTTCCCCCACGACACCGTTTGGGGCGAGTGGAACCTCTGCTGTGACTACATCGGACCAAATGATGTCAGTATCTTCCTCTGTGATGTTTATACTGGACAAAATGATTTGAGAGGTCTATTATATGCTAAATTTTGCTCGCAGGTTGCCAACCATTGCTGTGACCAAAATGGTTACAACACTGGGAGTGGCGCGCCTGGATGCTAAATACCTTAAATTTGATTCCTCACTGGATGACTAGAGAGTATCTAGTGTCACAGCCCCACCGCCCCGGTTTTGTTATTCAGGTAGCAGCGGGCTGATTTTGTGTAATCTGGGAAGAACTTCTGCATAGGCACCTTCGGAGGACTGGGACCTTGTCAAAATGAAGTTCAGCAGACAACAGAGGCCTCTTCTGGGACAAGTACCCATCAATAACTGAACAATCGTGTAGCACTTGTTTCACTATCAAGCACCTACAAGCAGCAACCAGCTTTCATATACAGTGCCTTATTATATGTGCTGTGTGCTTCGTTATAATTCAGGTTCTGTAGACATGAATATAGGAAGATTGCAAAGGGGAAGGATTGTTTTCAGGTTTACAAATGAACTGAGGCGTCTACTACAGCGGAATCACCGGTTGGATGTCATGGCTCTATCATATTGTGAATCAATTATTGGTCACTTCTAGTATGACGTCTGCAGCAAAATCCATTTTGCTTGTGGTAGGTAAGCCAAGGCCACAGCATCCAACCATCCAGGACGGTAGTAAGAGGTAGATTATTTGTAAATAGTGCCATTAACAGGCGCCCAAAAGACGGAATTATTGGTCTACGATGGTTTAACTTATCATGCATAGTACATAAACTTCAAAGATTTATAGTTTAACTTGCTTCCTGCTCCAGTGCTTGAAAAAGCTAAGGAATGATGCTCTATCTCTCGGTTTTCAAGTAATATAACGATCTGGTATAAAGCCGGCCAATCCAGTTTGGCGCGATTTCTTGTATTATTCTGTCTGTTGTATACCGAACATGCTATAACATTTTAATATATAATGAGTTTCTCATAACTTTCTATTTGGTAGAGGACTTTTCTCGTCGATGTCAAGGCTACTGTCCTTCGAACAAGAGAAGTCTCCCATCATCGTTATTGCAATGGAAGCTCTAGGCCCTCATTGAATCCACTATCCATCATTGCATGTAGAATTCATTATTTAGAGCTCAGCCTATTCTGTAAAGGGAAAATAAAAAGGACAAATGTTCAGTTTCGTTGTCGCCGTTTCCCCAAAGGCGAGGCGTGGTTCCTTCTATGATACTCCTTGGCTTAGTGGGTTACTATACACAGGGGATTGATAGTCGCCCACTGTATAGAATATTGCCAAATATTCATACCCATCAGAACCGTTTTGTCTGTGCTGCAGTGTTTAACTCGCGAGGTAACTACGTTGCTAAGTGGCCGATACACCTCAGGGTCCTTGTGAGAGCTGCTGGGGACACCCTGTTTTCTGACAATGCATATTCTTATAATTCCAGTATAGTCTACTTCTCAGCACATATCCCATCATTTTGCTACCTCTTTCTACTAAGAACTATCAGCATTCCCGGAGATAAACAACAAAACAAGCGCTTGGACCGAACACATTCCCGAGAATATCCCGTAAAGCCCATCCAACCTATATGACTCACAAGGCTGAACAGTAAAATAGGCATACCATGACTCAAACTAAAGGAAAAAAGGATGCTAAACCCTGACGATCCTTCAATCCTTCGGAATATCAAATCAAATGAGGGGGCTCAAACCCTCGGAGTTTGCGGGGCCTTAAACTGAACCCGGTATCTGAGCCCGATGCTTCGCACGCGAGTTAAATATAGGCTTACAATGTTGGAACAGGGACATGATTCTACTATGTAGTTGGTGCATAGTGTCATGCTAGATAAGCCAATGTTGCTCTTCGTCTGTATAGTTTCGGGAATGCGGAATTAGTACCGTTTTCGGGGTTATGGATCGCTGGTGGGAGTATATTTATGTCCGAGCTTGTTGTTTAGGTTTGGATGATGACGATCGTTCCCTTGGGATGAAAGTATAAATACTACGGTTGTTCTGGAGTATCTGTGGCGTTGTTCATGCTTAGATGTGAGAGTTTCCCATCTTTGGTTCATCCGAGTTAAGTTATCAGTAGCTTTTGTCATCATTAATAATGTCGCAAAACCAGTCTACAACTCGTCAGGTAAGGTTGATCCGATACGTCCCTACCCTTAGAAATCAGTGCTAACATGCTCCATGAATAGCGCAATGACGAAGCGGAACTCGACCTTCTGGACTTCATCTACGCCCAGCCGAACCGGGACGAGATCCAGGGAAACCCCCAGAAGGTATTGGATCTGATTGACGAATTTGCGAAATCGCGCCATCTCATCCATGTGGGGCCCGAGAAGGGGAAGGTCGTAGCAGACCTTATTGCGGTGCGCAAGCCCCAGATTATGATCGAACTCGGAGGTTACGTGGGCTACTCGGCCATCCTGTTCGGCGATGCCGTGCGTCGGGCCGGTGGCAAAAAGTACTACAGTTTGGAGGTCAATCCCGAATATGCCGCCATCTCGACCCTGCTGCTTGATCTGGCGGGTCTCCGGGATTTCGTCCAGATCCTAGTGGGTCGTAGCGACCAGTCCCTGGATAAGTTGTATACCAGTGGCGAAGTGCCACAGGTGGAGATCATGTTCATTGATCACTACAAGCCCGCATATACCACGGATCTGAAACTATGCGAGCAGCTTGGCATGATCGTTCCTGATGTGTCGGTTCTGGTGGCTGATAACGTGCTCTATCCGGGCAATCCACCGTACCTGGAGTATGTCCGGGGCACGGTGGAGCAGAAGCGAAAGGCGGCCGAGAAGGGACCAATCCAGATGTATAACACGGAGGGTATACCTGCTTCGAATGTGCGGGCGTTTCTTGGCTCGGACTCGACGCCCCTGTTTGACATCCTCGGGGACCCGAATCTGGTGTATGAGAGCACGCTGAGTCAGCCGGAGGGACATCGGGTAAGTGATGGACCTTCCAGGAATATAGCAAGAATGACGCTTTCTAACTGTGATAGGATGCCCTTGAGATTACTCGGTGTGTAGGTGTAGAGAAAGCGTGATCGGGAAAAGCATTTCCGGCGGAAGAGCATTCATCGGTCGGCTCGGAAGAATGACAAACGGTCGGCTTTTGCCAGATTGGTAGAATTTTGCCCCGCCATATCCGCCGGACCCAAAGGTTCCTATCGCGAGGACCTTCCCCCGCACTAGCTGTGTTTCTACTTCTTCACCAATATGACTTCATGGGTAATTTCTTAAGTGTATATAAAGCTCCACAAAGCCCCGCCGGTCTCTCTCTTTCAAGTTCATTCTCTCAAAATCCTATTATTGTGACAACCCTGTGATTGCCCTCGATAGACATATATAAATCAAGATGGCTTCCAAGACTTTTAACGTTGGTGTGGTCGGATATGGCTTCAGCGCCAAAACATTCCACATTCCTTTTGTTTCCGATGTCCCCCATTTGAAATTGTACGCTGTTGTTCAGCGTACACCAAAGCCCGACGACGATGCCGAGAAGGATCACCCCGGCATCAAGTCCTATCGGACTACCGAAGACATGGTCAAGGATGACGGAGTCGATGTCGTCATTATCACTACCGCACCAGAGTCGCATTATCAGTTGACAAAATTGGCCTTGGAGCATGGAAAGCATGGTGAGTGTCTTAATAACGATCTAAGGCATCAATTCCTTTCGTGCGCGCTAACAAAGCTACTACAGTTGTCTGCGAGAAGCCCTTCACCCCCACCACTCAGGAAGCCGAGGAGCTTGTTGCCCTTGCTGAGAAACAGAACAAGTTGTTGGCTGTGTATCAAAGTATGTGCCCTCATTCGAGCACCAGGAAGTTGCAGAACTGTAACTAACAATGATAACTGTGCAGACCGTCGCTTTGATGCCGACTTCGTGACCGCCTCCAAGCTCATAAAGAGTGGTGTGCTTGGCCGTGTCGCCGAATTCGAGACTCACTTCGATCGTCATCGTCCCGAAGAGCCCGCTCCCGAGGTTTCAAAGTGGAAGAACAAGGTCGTTCCCGGCGGTAGTGCGATTTACGATCTCGGAAGTCATCTGTTAGATCAGGCCGTGCAACTGTTCGGACTGCCAAACCGTGTCACTGGATTCATTGGCTCTCAGCGGGCGGTAAACACGTCCGGCTATGAGGATACTTTCACCGTCCTGTTCCACTATAATAACGGTCCTCTGGTGACGGCCAAGGCGCTGTCGTCAGTCCGGAAGAGGAGCAGCTCAGGTTCTGGGTCCGCGGAGAGAAGGGCAGCTTTAAGAAGGTAAGGGTTTGGTTTCGGTGACATTGGAGCTAGAATCAATAAGCTGACATGCTATTCCAAAACAGTTCCATCTTGATATCCAGGAGGAGCAACTCAAGAGCGGAATCAAGCCCGGTGACAGCGTATACGGCAGGGAACCCAGTGAAAGATATGGTATGCTTTTCTCTCTCAAAAACAGACAAGGCTCTTTCAGTAGCACATATACTAACAGTAATTTCCCAGGTACCCTGACCACTATCCAGAACGGCAAGCCCGTCAGAGAAGTTGCGCCGACCGTGGAGCCCCCCACCTACTCTGAATACTACAGAAAATTTGCCCGCGCTCTTGCCGGAGAGGGAGACCTTCCCGCCAGCGGAGCGGAGGCCCGTGATGTTATCCGGTTGATTGAGCTGGCGCAGGAGAGTTCACGACTGGGCAAGACCCTTGATGTCTAAATTTTGTATATGTAAAGATGATTTATTGACGATAATGATATGCCAATTTCTTTTCCGCACTCTTTTTGTGACTCACTGCTCTATATGAAGCTGTCTCTTGTTCGTACCTACCTAGAGGTATTAATAACAACATGCCTTTTTAGGCAAAACAACCCCTAACCGAACTTGATGGAGATATCTTTCCGAGGTGTTTGCTAGTACGAGTTATGTAGACAACCGATGGATTTCATTGGCAAACCGAGCCGAGTCGCGCACATCTGTAAAGCCCGTTGTGACTGTAGTCCATGCAAAGTCGGTATTCTGCCATTGACGTCCTTCGTTATTCATGTTCTGGATTTTGCTTTTATCGTAGACTGCACGGTGGTCAGTAATGGCGTAGCTGACAAGCTCGGCTTATTCTCTGCAAGAATGAGCGAAAGGAAGAAGAGCAATAAAACGGTCAACAGTCATGGATGAGTGATGATTGAACCCGTGACATGAAAACTAACCTGAAGTGGCCGGGGTAATCCACGAATCGGGGAGAATTCCCATCACGTAGGGCACGCCGTAAATTACGTTACAAAACTGTGGGGTCGACGAAAATCTTCAGGTCCCCATACCGCTAAACCCAAGACGGCAATCTGTTACTTAATTGAAATGCGCTCAATGGCAGACCCAGACAGGTGAGCACCGTCATTGCCATCCCTTTCAGGCGACACAATGTCTCTTTCGTCAGTTCCAGACGGCCATTCTTTCGACTTTCCGCGGAGATACGGTACAGACGGTTCACCGTCTGTCAGTCCCCTTGGCTTTTAAGGTCATTCCTCGGGGACTGAAAGTACTGAAGTATCCCATGGTCCCAACCTTGAGTGGCGCTTTCATGAACGCGCTGCGGGTTAAATCTCCTATTCTTTTTCAAACGACCAAGGGTTGGTGAGTGTCCACGTCTCGTTTACTGTCTGCGAGCATCCGATGATCCAAGTAAGAGGACAATGTATTAGTCAAGGTCCTCATCTTCTGTCGATGGCCGGTAATTTCTCGGCTCAGCCTAGACCTCTTCTTTCCCTGTTCAGCAGTTCCTGTTTCTTGTATTTCTTTCATGCTTATTATGTATCCTTAGTGCTGGGGAATCTTTTCTGTTTTGTACCTAGCGTTGTATTGATATTTTCTTCTACCTCCAACAAGTGGCCACTACCTCTAACTTCACCAGATACATAAACCCGGAGGATGTGTTTGTGACCTGACACGCAGCAACTCATTTCGCGCGTAGAACAGACCCCAGTCAACCCCAATGTTAGGGAACGTGGACTTTTCCCGCTGGCATGTGGATATCGACAGATACCTAAATCCGTTGATTCCACGTCCGCCATGGCGCTGGCTACCTCGTCCCATCTCTCATTTCCTGGGGTATAGAGGGGACAAACCTCCAAGGAACCTGGGTAACCTCGTGATCGCCTTTTGGTCCCTGATCGGCGTCTTCTGCGGTGTATTAGTCGTCGCCGAAGTATCCTTGCATGTCCCCTCTTTCCAGCACCATCATGCGCCAATTATTGTGGCTAGTTTTGTATGTACCTAACCTACCACACATAGACCCCTGCACTGATCAACAAACTAATGTTCGCACAGGGTGCCGCAGCTGTGCTGGAGTTTAGCGCCATTGAGTCACCATTTGCGCAACCGCGCAACGCCGTCCTGAGCCAGGTCATGGCAAGCGCTATCGGTATCGGCATTGGAAGGCTCTTCGCCTTAAACCCTCATGCCAATGCACTGCCCCAGGTCGGGGGAGCCCTGGCCTGTGCAATCACCACCGCTGTGATGGTCCTGACGAAGACCGTTCACCCGCCCGCTGGCGCAACGGCTCTCCTCGCTGTCACCGAAGGGTATGAAATCGGCTGGTTTCTGGTCCTGATCATGTTTCTTGGGTGTATCATGATGCAAGCGGTGGCACTGGTGATCAATAACATCCACCGGCGGTTTCCGGTATATTGGTGGACCCCTGATCCTCTCCGACGTCCCAAAGTTGTTGTTGAGGACACTGAAAGTGCCCGGGAACGTAAGCAAGAGAGCTTGGCCCCGACTACTTCAGACGATGACACTGAAGCTACCGTTCCAGCACGGATTGTGATTGAGGAAGGGAAGGTGACAGTACCGGATAATGTTTGGATTACGACAGAGGAAATGGAGTTTTTGGAAAAAATCAGTCAGCGCATACGTTAATATACACCGGCTTGTTACCCAATACAGACGGTTGGGCCCTATACACACTTTATAAAGCGACCTATGTACATACTTTCCATCTAATTGCTCAACCCTTTACGCAGATAGAAATAAAGCGCCCTACACATTCATAATATTACATAACATGTGGCTTGGCAACGGATTATGAATGATGCCTACATGGAACTAATTGATGTCCCAGCCCTCGAATTATATGCTGGGCGCAGCCTTATCCTTCCCATTACCCCTCTTCTTGACAAAGTACTATGCTACACAGCTTTCTAAACATCCGATTCGGCCTGATAGTTGGGATTGGCGGGGCATACCAACGAGACAGGACATCCGTCTCGGTGATGTTGTAGTAAGCTCGTGTCGTGGTGGACATGGTGGCTTGATCCAATATGACTTCGGCAAGGAATTACAAGGCCAGGACTTCTTTCAGACAGGGCGGCTAAACCAGCCGCCTCTCATCCTGCGCACTGCAGTAGCCAGACTCCAGGCGCAGTATGAGGAGGAGGGACATCAGATAGAGGACAATATCCGCATCGTTATTGAACGCAATAAAAGGCTGAGGCGCAAATACGCACGGCCTCCTCCCGAGAGCGATAGATTGTATACAAGCCATTTCCACCCCACTGATAACCCAGATATCGGTGCCAGGCTGTGTGATGGGTCGAATTTGATTGTTCGACAGGGGCGGACGGAGGAGGAGGAGGATAATCCCGCTATCCACTATGGCCTGATCGCATCTGGAAACAGAGCCATCAAAGATGCGCTATTCCGTGACAGACTGGCAGCAGAGCAGGATGTTATAAGTTTTAAAATGAAAGCCGCTGGGCTGATAAACCATTTCCCTTGTTTGTTTATTTGTGGAATTTGTGACTATGCTGACTCTCATACAAGCACGGAATGGCAAGGGTATGCTGCTATGACGGCAGCAGCATATGCAAAAGATCTCCTCTATGCCAAATTGTTCCTCAAAGGGTGAAGTCTGAGCGGAGAGCTATCTAGTTTATCCTTGGAGAATCTATGATACCAATGGTTTTCCAAAACTAGCTTCACCGTGCATTTCAACAGGTTCACAGTACACACCCCATTGTTAGCACCACAGCTTTCAATAAGTAGTATCGCAAACGATATCAATCCGGTAACTTTACAGAGAACAGTTATAGATCGATCAGTTTCAGAAATCCCACCGCTAGGCATACTATGCGGGAACCCCTCTTGATGCATAGAGTTCCCGCTTGTATGCAGTGGCTGAATGTCCCATGGAGACTCATCTGCCACTACATGAGTAAGGGTGATGTGCTATTACCCTATTTGCGAACCAATCTGGATTTGTGCCTTGGGCGTAAGGCTGTAAATCACGTGTCGTTGGTGCCCAAAGAAGACTAGACTGCGCCACAACCCGTGCGGTGACGTTGGAAAGCCAATCAGAGGGGCGGCTGGACGGGACCCACTGAACGAATTTTTGAAGGCAAGAAAATCACGTTTCCTCATTGAAGTGTGCTCCAATCTCTGTTTTCTTTCCTTTTCCCTCTCATCCATCTTGTTGGGGCGTTATCATCTTCGGTTATCGCCACTAGACCGTTTCCCTGTTGAGTTCCTGGTCTATATATTATATCGTCTCCTTTCTCTTGTGATCCTTCTGTCTCGGACCAAATTTTTGGGGTAGTTACTACGTATCGATTACTATTCGGCGTGCTCTCTATCGATAAGGGCTTCCAAGAAAACTTCACCCCACCCACTCAGAAAAAAAAAAGGCGTTTGGTTGACCCCCTTTGACCCCGCTATTATTTTGATCCACTCACTGGAAGTTCTTTTTTCTCTTTTCTTTCTCGCCTTACCGACAGGCTTTTGATCTTTCCTCCTTCCCGCCTCTTGACGCTTTCCTCCACTCCCCCCCTCCCCCCTCCTACCAACACATACACCCGACAAAATGGTGTCTGCTTCCAAAGCCGCTCGTTTGGCAAAGCGTGCCGCCGATGGCGACACCAAGAAGAAGCTCGGCAAGGGAAAGAAGGACGGTGCTGAGTCCCCCCAGGTCGACAGTGACGTCCCAACCGATGATCAGCCCGCCACCACGACCGAGAAGATGAAGGAGGTTGAGAAGCTTACAGCACAGATGGACAAGCATGGCCTTTCTGATCGTGTCACGACCGGTGTGCTCTCTTCCATGGAAGCCTCTCGCGACGTCAAGGTCACCTCCGCTTCCCTGGTGTTCCACGGCAAGGTCCTTATCACCGACTCCACTCTCGAATTGAACTTCGGTCGTCGTTACGGTCTTCTCGGTGAGAACGGCTGTGGCAAGTCCACTTTGCTGAAGGCTATCGCCCAGCGTGAATACCCTATCCCCGAGCATATCGATATCTACCTCCTGAACGAAGGTGCTCCTCCTACTGACCTTGGTGCCCTCGAGTGGGTCGTCACTGAGGCTCAGAACCAGCTTGACCGCATGGAGAAGCAGGCCGAAGAGATTCTGGAAGAGCAAGGTCCCGACAGCCCTATCCTCGAGGATCTGTATGATGTAAGTTATCTTTTCGCCTATGGGTCGTCGGGATTGCACTAACTAGCATCCAGCGTATGGACAAAATGGATCCCTCCACTTTCCACACTCGTGCTTCCTTGATCTTGACTGGTCTTGGATTCAACAAGGTCACCATCAACAAGAAGACCAAGGATATGTCCGGTGGTTGGCGTATGCGTGTGGCTCTTGCCAAGGCTCTGTTCGTCAAGCCTTCCCTTCTGCTGCTGGACGACCCTACTGCTCACTTGGATCTTGAGGCCTGTGTGTGGTTGGAAGAATACCTGAAGAAGTGGGAGCGCACCCTCGTCCTGGTTTCCCACTCCATGGACTTCTTGAACGGTGTCTGTACCACCATGATTGATATGCGCATGAAGCAGCTCCTGTACTACGGTGGTAACTACGATTCTTACCACAAGACCCGTAGCGAACAGGAGACGAACCAGATGAAGGCATACAACAAGCAGCAGGAAGAAATTGCCCACATCAAGAAGTTCATCGCTTCCGCCGGTACATACGCCAACTTGGTTAGACAGGCCAAGTCCCGCCAGAAGATCCTCGACAAGATGGAGGCCGATGGCTTCATCCAGCCCGTTATTCCCGACAGAATCTTCAGCTTCCGCTTCGCCGAAGTTGAGAAGCTTCCCCCTCCCGTCCTGTCCTTCGATGATGTCAGCTTCTCCTACTCCGGCAACTGGGACGATACGCTGTATGAGCACCTTGACTTCGGTGTTGATATGGACTCCAGAACTGCTCTGGTCGGCCCCAATGGTGTCGGCAAGTCTACTCTGCTGCGCATCATGACCGGAAAGCTGCAACCTATTGGTGGTCGTGTCAGCCGTCACACTCACTTGAAGTTGGGCATGTACAGCCAGCACTCTGCCGAGCAGCTCGACCTGACCAAGTCCTCCCTTGACTTTGTCCGCGACAAGTTCCCCGATAAGAGTCAGGACTACCAGTACTGGCGCCAACAGCTCGGCCGTTATGGTCTGAGCGGTGAGTCCCAGACTGCTCTGATGGGCACTCTGTCTGAGGGTCAGAAGAGTCGTATCGTGTTCGCTCTGTTGGCCATCGAATCCCCTAACATGATCCTTCTCGACGAACCTACCAACGGTCTCGATATCCCCACCATCGACAGTTTGGCCGATGCCATCAACGCCTACAGCGGTGGTGTCGTCGTCGTGTCCCACGACTTCCGTCTCCTCGACAAGATCGCCAAGGACATCATGGTCTGTGAGAACAAGACCGTCACCCGGTGGGATGGTACTATCGGCCAGTACAAGAACCACCTGCGCAAGAAGATGATTGACGCCGGTGCTGTCTAAGACAAGACACGAAAAGATGAAGGAAAACGAACGCTTCTTGTTATGATTGGAATGTCAGAGACGACAATGAAAACTCAAAAGCTGCAGGGGAGTTGAACTTAAAAAGTTTCTTACAGGAGAAATGATCCATCCTGAGTGATACAGTGACATGGGCGGGGGACGGTTTTCTTTCTTACATACATATCTGGAGATATCTGCTCTTGCTTGTTTGGGTTGCTTTATTTTTATTAGATGGTCTGTCTGTGTTTCATACCTTATCCCCTGCTAGACCCCTCACGTTTCAGGGTTCAATTTTATATTCTTATCTTTTTCTACGCTTCTATGGTTTCACCGTTTGTTATAGACATCATGTAGGACTCTTTTGATGGTCCTTGGACCTTTTGGCCTGCACCCATGGTAGGGCTTTGCTTACTAACGATGGCATGATACCATGGAGAAGCAGTTTAGCTAAAAATATTCTAATTATACAAGAGCCCCAAAGACCACGACTTATCTTCTATAATCTACCGCTGTGGCGTAACCTGCTATTGAAGCTGCTATGCGTCCTTCGTCCGTTGCGTCACTAATTCCCCTCCAAATATATCCTTCGGCCGTTCCCCGTCCAATTTCCGCTTCTTTGCCAGACGCTCCATTTCGCTCTCAGAGGTCGCCGGATCCCCAGCAGCTGCTACTGCCGCAGCCGCCGCCGCAGGGATACGCTTCTGGCCCGCTACGCCAGCCTTCTCTGGGTTCTGGCAGTGGGAGAGTTTCTTCCGGATGCGTCGTAGGTTTTTCTTCTGGTCCGGATCTGAGGCGAGGGGTTTATACGCCTGAAGGAGGTTAGAGCAATTGGTCAAGGTACGGAGGAGCTTCGTCCGGAGCTCGTAAAGCGGGGATCCTTGTTGCTGCTCTTGGGGTCCGCCCAGCTTAGTCTCAAGATAGAATTCCGCCAGCGGCTTGTCCGCGATCATGAGCGCAGCGAGCCAGATCTGGGACGGCGTGTAGAGGAAGTAAGCGTCTGTCATTTGGGCGGCGGATTTGAGGGTCTCGCGGGTGTTGTGGTGCGCGCGGGCGAGTCGGTCTGTAGTGGAGGATGAGGATGTTGTAGGCGATGGGGGCAGAGAATGGAGTCTGCGTTTGAGGTCGTCTGGTGTCTGGGTTGGGAAGTGGGGGGCCGGTTGGCCCATGCCTTGGGATATGGCTTGGAGTTCCATAATGCCGCCTTCGAGGCCGCGGAAGGGGTGGCGGACGTCGAAGGTGAAGCGGAGGCTTTGCATGACCAGGAACTCGGGTTGGATTATGTCTTCCGGTGTTGTGCCGCCGGGGATTACTTCTGCGAATTGTCGGAGGGAGAGGTAGTAGTTGTCTGTTTTTGTGGCCAGGAAGAGCGCGCAGAGCATGATGGATTTCGGGTGGTAGGTCATTGGGGAGTTGGTTAGGTAGAAGCGTCGGAGGTATTGGATTGCTGTGGCCTGTGGGAGTTTTGGTGGTTAGTTAGTTGGTGGTTGCTTCTTTGGGTGATTTGTGTATATAGATGGTAGAGTAGGGACGGTGTGACGTACCCGGACTATTGTTGGGAGTGGGGGTTTGTACATCTCTCCCAACTCTATGATCTGTTCGCAGAAGTATCGCACCAGCTGGTGCTCTTCTTCGGGTGTTAGGCACTCGATCTCTGTGTCATCGCCGCCGGCTTTGCTGTCTGCGTCGCTTCCATTCTGGTTTGCTGCTGGTGTCCCGGCTGCGGATGAGGTGGCTGATCGTTGCGCTCCTCGCGATTTCCGGAGCGCAGACCGTACGCGCTCACTGGCGTTTGCGTTTGTCGTTGCGCGTAGGGATTGTAAGGATGTCTCGGTGTAGGACCAAAGTCGGAACTGCGATGAGGAGCGGTAGAAATCGTCTTCGATCATGGTGGGCGAAGGAATGTGCACTCAAGCGAGCTTCTTCTGTGTATTATATGGCGGGTGGATTTATCGATACTCAAACTGAAAAGGTCGCAATTTATTATAAGTTCACTTGAGTTGTGGATTTGTGGCTAGTCATTGACCCATACTTGGAGAAAAGTGAGTTGTTAGAGTTAAGCATTAAAGATCTCAAGGCGGAGAGGAGCTAAAAAGGTCCGCCACGTGCTTATCGATAGCACGGAAATTGTATAAATTGATTTCTATTTGGACTATCTACAGCTACAGCTATTATAATCCGGACTGGAAATAGTTCTTTATTGAATCGATATAAGAAAGTGACGTGTTGCTAAAAAATATTCAGAACAGAGGTTGGAGAGTCGGTTAAATATATTTCGGTATATTGGTCATCATTAAATGAGGTCGATCTCAAAACAAGCTAGTTAACTGGTGATGGGTAATAATCTGGGCTGAAAAACAAGCAAAGAAAGTAAGATAAATCTCGCTAGGCATCATGCTTCACCAGCTCCATCCAGCATGCACAGTCATAACAGATGATCAGCCGTAGGTATTCAGTGTCGCACCACTTACGGCTCACCCAGAAGCCGTGCGGTAATGTCACCCATGTAAGCCTCCTCCAGTTCGTAGTCTTCTCCGTTCATCCGATCAACACCGTAGTACTTGAAGGCAGCCACCACACGGTCCACATCGAATCCCATGCTGCAGAAGCGGTCGATCAAGTCCTTATTGTACCCATCGTATCTAGAGAAGGACGTTAGAACGAAAATGCGCCGAGCAAAGAGGAGATAATTGAGAGACATACTTAGCTAAGTCTTCCTTTTCCTCTTCTTCCTTTAATTTGAGCTCTTGCTGTCGCAGCGACTCATTAGTGGCGCCACCACTGCCCTCTCCCGCAGTCCTGCTAGGAGCACCAGCATACAGGGTAGCCCAGGTTTGTGCCACTCTCTCAAATTCCTTTGGTTTCCGTAGCAGCATATTGGCAACCTCAGCGTCTTGGGGGTCCTTAGGCTCGGGTGTGCTAAGCAGAGATTGTAGTGACAACAGAGCGGACTTGATGGTGAGAACGGGGGACCACGCGGACGACAGAGTATCAAGGCAGATAGCACCCTATACAAGCGGTTAGAGACCTGACTCACTATCTCTTAGCTGCATCTAGAAGAACCTACCGTTTGGCTACTGATGTTCGGATGCCAGACCTTGGTTTGGAATTTCATTACTGGCGGCCGAAATGGATAGTCCGTAGGTATTTTTATATCCACAGCATAGGTGCCACCCTCATATGGGGTACCTGGGGGCCCCGGAAATGTACCCCGTAGATGTGTGAGATCTTCATCCCCGCCTACTGGTTCGGCTGTGATCCCAGACTGCGTATCAGCGTGGATATCGGCTATTTCCTTTGCGATACGCCGGGATCGGTTGGAGGCCATGATTCCGGATTTAGGGTCCAAGTTGTGAGAGGGAAAGAAATGGAATATAAAATAAACAGTTGTGAAATTTTTACGGGTGTGTGGTTAGGCGTCAAAAGGTGGGCTCGCAGCCCAGGAACACTGCGCAAAACCGAGCTACAGGTCCGCCTCGTTAGCTACGATCACATATGGGCGGTTGAGCATATAATGCAAGAGCGGGATGCCAGAAGGAAGGTTAAAGGGTAGATATGGTGCCTGTGACTCAAAGGTAGGAAGAGAGCCTTACCGGACAGAGAGTAGCTTGTATCGTGAGACGAGGGGGATGCGCCGCGGGGAATGAGGGCTCGTCTGTTGCGGATATACTACTAGTTCAAGTGGGACGAGATCGACAGGTGAGACAAGCTCTGAGGAAGTCAAAGACGCTTTGCAAGGTTCATTGAAGATTGAGATATGGGCTTCTATTCAGTCCAAGTAATGCGTAGTACGTAATTGCAGAAATGCCCGAAAGTCCAAAATGGTTTCGAGTCAATCTGACGCAGCGGCTATTGACCGTGATTTGTTCGATAGGCGCCTGATTCGCGTGGCATCCAAACGACATGATAGCTCTGGGTCACGTGCGAGGGTCAGGGCGGTGGCCAAGCCCGACGGATGGCGACAACGACAACAGCTTCCAAGCTCGCCGAAAGCTCATCATCATTCTACATTACCCTCCCATCTTCCAACCATTTCCCAGAGTATTACAGTCGCTTTCATCATAATATTCTGTCTCGGCTAGTTAGACTGTAAACAACGTCTTGTTGATTCCGCGGCACACACTTGGACTATGGTTGGCTCCCAACACTCACTGTCGTCACAGTCTCACCTAGTCATGTTACGGTCTCTCTAACATGTTCTTTACAACAGGGTAACCAGCAGTCCAACATCGGCGGAGGCCCTGGGGGCGATGGAAGGGATGATAAGGATAAAAAGGTAAATTCGATTGCTTCGTTACGACAGCTCTATCCGCTTACAAAGCGTCCCTTCAAAGAAGGATAAGCCTAGATACGAACCACCTCCCCCTCCCACGACTCGTCTTGGACGTAAGAAGCGCAAGGCTGCCGGACCAAGCACAGCTTCCAAGCTCCCCGACATCTTCCCAACCTCACGATGCAAATTACGATACTTGCGAATGCAACGAGTCCACGACCACTTGTTGCTAGAAGAAGAATACGTCGAGAACATGGAACGCTTACGCAAGACCAAGGCCCAAGCAGCACAGGATTCCGTCAGCAGAAGCGAGTTCGATATCATGGACCGGAATGCAGACGAGAGGGGTCGCGTCGATGACATGAGAGGCACTCCCATGGGAGTCGGCAACTTGGAAGAGTTGATCGACGACGACCATGCCATTGTTTCCAGCGCTACCGGGCCAGAGTACTACGTTTCCATCATGTCCTTCGTTGATAAGGACTTACTGGAGCCTGGTGCCAGCATTCTGCTACACCACAAGTCTGTCTCCGTTGTGGGTGTGCTCACCGAGGAGTCCGACCCATTGGTATCGGTGATGAAACTTGACAAGGCACCAACGGAGTCTTATGCGGATATCGGTGGTCTGGAGACTCAGATTCAAGAGGTTCGAGAATCCGTCGAACTTCCGCTGCTCCACCCTGAGCTGTATGAAGAGATGGGTATCAAGCCCCCCAAGGGTGTCATTCTCTACGGTGCCCCGGGAACCGGAAAAACGCTGCTTGCCAAGGCGGTTGCGAATCAAACAAGTGCCACTTTCCTCCGGATTGTCGGTAGTGAACTTATCCAGAAATACCTCGGTGACGGACCTCGTTTGGTGCGACAGATTTTCCAGGTTGCTGCGGAACACGCTCCTTCCATCGTCTTCATTGATGAAATTGATGCCATCGGTACGAAGCGTTACGACTCTACATCGGGTGGTGAACGAGAAATTCAGCGTACTATGCTTGAGCTTCTTAACCAGCTGGACGGTTTCGATGACCGTGGAGATGTCAAGGTTATCATGGCCACTAACAAGATTGAAACACTTGACCCTGCTTTGATTCGTCCTGGTCGTATTGATCGAAAGATTCTCTTCGAGAACCCAGACCGTACGTGCTACCTTCTAAACAACAGATGATCTGTTTACTAACAGCCTCCAGAAAATACCAAGAAAAAGATCTTCACCCTGCATACATCCAAGATGTCACTCGGCGATGACGTCGATCTTGACGAGTTTATCAACCAAAAAGACGACCTTTCAGGTGCGGACATCCGGGCAATCTGTACCGAAGCCGGCTTGATGCTTTGAGAGAACGCCGAATGAGAGTGCAAATGGAGGATTTCCGCTCCGCTAGGGAGCGTATCATGAAGACGAAGCAAGACGGAGGTCCTGTGGAAGGCTTATACCTGTAGTGGATCTGTTGGTGGTGTACCTAGTTTAGTTTCAATGACACAAACGCATTATATGACGTAGAGATTCTACAGTCATATATTCGCATATCTTATATATTAAGTACGACTCCACTTCATAGCAACATTATAGAACATAACAAAACGAAGGCTGTGTCAATGACGGCACCGAGAGCTTAGCTTGCAAACAACACAAACATTGCAATTGATGCAAACTGGATATCGCCGCCGTAAAGTCATGGACTCTTTGCGAAATCCGAGTAACTTCATGCAATACATCTCATAATGGACGGATTCGACGAAGAAGCTTTCAAGAAGTTCTTCCCAGGAAGCTTCGGGAAACAGGAAAAAAATACCGATGTCAACACTCAGATAGACCGCACCAAGCGGACAAATGTGTCTGCCAAGCTGCCGCCGATGATGACCAGGCGGGCTTGATTAGCGACGAGCAAGCTAACGTTCAGACTGGAGCTGAAGATCGAAAAGACAAGAGTGAAAGCGACAGCGATAATGATTCTGATGACTCTGACTCCGATGATGACGATGAGGATGAGTTCCCTGTCTCGCATGAGCTCGTCCTTAAAACTCATGAGCGTGCCGTGACAACTCTCACAGTGGACCCATCAGGCTCGCGTTTAATCACAGGGTCAACAGACTGTACAATTAAACTACATGATTTCGCTTCGATGACCCCTTCGACAGTGCGCGCCTTCAAGTCCGTTGATCCTACCGCGAAAAAGCAGTCGGCTGCGCAGGAGGCGCATTCCGTGCATTATGCTGCGTTCAATCCCCTGTCGCCAAGCTATGTCATGGTCGTTTCTGCTACACCCCAACCGAGAATCCTTGATCGCGACGGCGAGACAGTTACTGAATTCGTGAAAGGAGACATGTACTTGAGAGATCTTCATAATACCAAGGGGCATATATCGGAGGTTACCAGCGCTGCATGGTCTCCCACTGACGAGAACCTGTGTGCTACTGCCGGATCAGATAGTACAGTACGTATATGGGACGCCAATATCGGACGATCACAGAAAGAAGTCATAATGCATAAGTCAAGAGCGGCTGGATCCGCTGGTCGGAGCAAGATGACTGCTGTTGCATGGGGCTCCCCAAAGCAAGGTGGACCTAATGTGCTTATTGCTGCTGCCCTTGACGGAAGTTTAATGATGTGGAGTGGCAATGGACCATTTACTCGGCCTAGTGGTGAGATTCGGGATGCCCATACGCGTGATACATGGACCAGCGGCCTGGATATCAGCTCGGACGGAAGACTGGTCGTCACCAAGGGCGGAGACGACACCATCAAGCTCTGGGATACTAGGAAGTTCAAGCAACCGATCACAACCGTGGCACACCCGTCAAGCTCCTCCCGATACCCGACTTCGAATATTGTATTCTCACCCACGTCCGCGAATGTCCTCACGGGCTCGGAAACTGGCCATTTACACATTTTGAACCCCGCTACCTTAAGGCCGGAATTGGTCACACCGGTCACGCCGGGATCGGCTTTGATTACAGTTCAATGGCATGAGAAACTCAATCAGATCCTCACGGGCTCTGCCAATGCTGAGACACATGTACTTTACAACCCCGACATGTCGTCCAAGGGTGCCGCTTTGGTTATGTCCAAAGCACCCAAACGCCGGCACATCGATGATGACCCGAACCTTACCATGGATCTTTCGCAAGGTATCTCGGGTGATAACGTTGTCGTTGGATCGAACGGTGTGCCCCATTATAGCTCAGCAACCTGGTCTTCCCGACACCCAACTGTTGGGCTCACGGCCTCGGGACGGCCCAGGGATCCACGGAGACCCCATCTACCAGCAACGACTCCCTTCGCCAAGTCACAGCCGGATGAGAAGCATATTCGAGAGAATATTCCTCTCAGTTCAATGCGCGATGAGGATCCCCGAGAAGCGTTGCTGAAGTACGCCGAGAAGGCCGAGAAGGACCCAGTTTTCACCAAGGCATGGAAGGAAACTCAGCCGAAGACGATATATCGGGAGATTAGTGACGATGAAGGCGAGCAAGAACCGGATAAGAAAAGAGCTCGGCGATGATTGTTTTGTACAGTATATGTGGAAATGCCTCTGATAATATAAACCTTGTCACCTCGTTTAGTGATAGCGATTTTGATGATACCTGTATAATTAAACTTGACCGCTGCCTGGGCGCACAGATGCATATAAAGTACTCAGATGACTGACTAGTATGTGCACTAGTATCTCAGCTGGCCGATGACGTTCGGGGTAAATCCATGCCGGAATGGTCATTAGTCAGGGTTGAGCCAATCACTCCGCTAGTTCTTTCAATAGTGCTGTTCTTCCTTCTTCTACTAGTTTGGAAAATACATTAGCTTGGAATTTCCAATCCCCCCCCCCCAACTTCTTTCCGATTTTCCTTTCACGATGCTGCGCTTGGGCTTATGCTCACCATCTTTAACTAGCGGTATTACACGTACGACCGATCGGGTCTTAGTTTACCACGCCCAGTGAACTAATCTGACTCCTGACGTCGCCGCCGGTGTCTTTCGGCTACCTTCCGCCAACTGACTCCACATCGCAAATCGTGCCTGACACAAACAGCCGTTCGATTTCACGCAAGGTGGATATTCATAGAGTTGGTTATTCTTTCTCCTTGAATTCGGTGAAAGGCGCAGCGTGGTAGTTCACGTTCCCTGGTAAAAGGGTGGTGTCTCACTTCGGAGATTTAGTAGTGTCGGAAGTACGGCAATGTGGTTCTCCTTAACAAAAGCATGAACACTCGTCCAGGGTCGAAGCGGAACTGAACCCTGAAGAATTCTACCCGCTGAAGTATCGAAGGCGACCTGCACCGTTGTCTGTTTCTCTCCTTTAAACACAGTGGGTGGTGGATAGTCAATAACCTGGGGCTCAAACTTTATAACGATTCCCCTCGACGGTGACAGCGGACCTGTCGGAACGCCCTCCTCCCCCTCCCAATACCCTACCCCTTCATTCCCCTTACGTTTAGTCTTCGAAAATCCCGAATGGATCGCCTCCACGAGGTGCCTCTAGCAGCGGGTCTGTTCACGACCTTCGTTTCTTCCGCCGTTCCCACGTCGACCTTCTCGCCGTCATATGTTCCCCTTTCTTCCCAGCCATCTCCCACGTTAGCTTCAGATCCCGGATATGACGACGGTGGAGGTGGGGGAGGAATGCATGAATGGTCTTCTCTCATCGGCATCGTGACTGCGCTAATTGGCAACGTCCTGATTTCCTTGGCCCTAAACATTCAGCGCTACGCGCACATCAGGATCGAGCGAGAATGGGAGCATCAAAAACTGCAAAAGGAGGCCGAATGGAAACGCGCAAATCCGGGCCGGGGCCCAGCAGACCATTATGGTTCGGTTGCGGAGCTTGAATACAGCGACTACGAAACACGGGGTAGAAACCAGCCCCGCAGCTTTGGTCGTTATAGGGACGAGTCCCCAGAGGTGAGGTTTGCCCATCACGATCAGCCCCATATTGATCTTGGACCCGAGGACGATGACGACATGGACACGGATGCGCATCAGAATGAAATGAACGAATCGTTTATGTCGGATCGAACTGTGCGACCGGAGGATCTGCGCCGGAAGTCATACCTTCGCTCCCCGTACTGGTGGGTCGGAATCGTGTTGATGTGCGTCGGCGAGATTGGGAACTTCATGGCATATGGTTTTGCTCCAGCGTCGATTGTTTCCCCATTGGGCGTCGTAGCTTGATATCAAATTGCGTCATTGCCCCGATTATGCTGAAGGAGAAATTCCGTGGGCGCGACTTCTGGGGCGTGGTCGTGGCGGTCACCGGAGCAGTGGTGGTCGTTCTCAGCGCCAGTTCCTCCGAGGAGAAGATCGGACCGCATGATATCTGGGTGATGATTACCCGCTGGGAGTTTGAAACGTATGTAGGCATCTCCGCCGTGTTGATCATTGGGCTCTTATGGGCCAGTGGAAAGTACGGGTCCCGGACGGTCTTGATTGACGTTGGGCTTGTGGCACTTTTTGGTATGTTAACGTAACAAGCTTCCATCCGTTTGTACTTGTTTGGACGACTGCTTATTCTCGTGTCTAGGTGGATATACTGCTCTATCAACAAAGGGCGTTTCGTCATTATTGTCTTTCACCCTATGGCATGCGATAACATTCCCCATCACGTACCTTCTGGTTTTTGTCCTGGTTTCTAGTGCAATATTACAGATTCGCTACATCAACCGTGCTCTCCAGCGTTTTGATTCCACCCAGGTGATCCCAACCCAGTTTGTGCTTTTCACACTTTCTGTGATCATCGGAAGCGCCGTGTTGTATCGGGATTTCGAGAATTACACCCTCGATCGCGCTGGAAAGTTCGTGGGCGGCTGTCTCCTCACCTTTCTAGGCGTCTATTTCATCACCAGTGGCAGGGTCCGCAGTGACAACGAGTCTTCATATTCCGCCGATGACGAAGAGGAAGCTATTGGACTGCTGGCGGGAGAGAGGTATCGTGACAGCGTCGACATGTCACCTGCGCGCCATATAAGAGTGCAGAAACCTTCCCGGAGGCCTTTGGAAACCCAGAGAGAGCGCCTGCAGTCCCCCTCTAGGTCGCTCCTCAGTCACGGGGTTGAGGGTGTTGGCGAGGGCCAGCCCACGCCCCGGGGCGTTCCGTCTGCTGCTGCATCTTCTCCTGTCGGTTCATTGACTGCCGACTCTCTCACCGCACAGTCCCCGGAGCCTTCTCCCCCCATGCACCCTAACTCTCTCTTAAACAATCCTTGGGCTGATGTTCATGAGTCGGCCATTGAAACCCCCAAGTCCGAACCCCAAATCCCCCAAATTGACCGTCCGGCCACTCCTGAACAGTCGAGGCCGACAACATCTGGCTCGCCGGTTCTTCTTCGTTTCCCACCTGCGCCTGGCATCGAAGACAGTAGCCTCAAAGTTCCAGCCCCTTCGGGAACGGAAACCGCACCGCCAGGGTCCCGAAACAACACTGTTCCACAGACGCCACCGGCACGCCGACTACGGAATTCGATATCGTCACGCTTCTCGCCGGGCCCGCTGCTTCCGACTATTTCTGCCGGGTTCAGTGCAGTGGTAGCAGAATCCCTGCGCCGTGGTGAAACGAGTCCGGGTAAAGATCGCAAGTTCGTGCGGAGGCATCGGGGCAAGCAACTCAGTACCACCGTTGTAGATGGCTTCCTTCGCAGCCGTGATAGTGAAAGCGCCAATGTCGAAGAGGGCCTGGACCCCCGTGCTGCGCTGCCGGCTGCGAGGTTTAAATCTACCGGCGATATTGCCACTGCTCCTGTTACTGCCGGGCAATCAACCACTACCTTAGATACAGAGAATGCTCCACAAAGCCTGCAGCCCGATAGCTCTACGTCTGTATCTCGGATTCGAAGCCTAAGTGATTCTTGGAGTGGAGGTCTAGCATGGCTGGGTGGCACTTTGCGCAAAGTGCATGGCCACGGCAACGAGCATGAGCAGATTGCCGAGTCACAGAATAACGAGGAGGAAATAGGCGCAAATACGCAGGCGTAAAAAACACTCTCTTCTGGGTGGCTGGCTCACTGGCATTGTTAGTACATATTGCATCTGCGTTGCGAGGCTTCTTGGGTAGACTTGAGTCTACCAGCCAATAATTTGTTGGCATTTTATAGGTTATAGTATTTAATACAAGCGTTAGAGTCCATGTTTATTAGCAGTATAATATCATAGCACGATGCATACTATAGGGTATCTACACATTGCTCTTAAGCATTAAACAACTCCCACATATGCAAAGCGCCCAAGACACATCTATATATCTATTGAAATCCTCAAAACAACGCCTAGGCTGCCCAAGCACTTCTCAACGCCGCCACAATCGCACTAGTAGGCCATGCATATTCAAACTCCAAGTCCACCAAAAACCTCACCAACGCCTCCCTCTCCCCAGGATCATCAAAATACTCCCCACAAATCGAGATCCCAACCGCACTCGTCACCAACGCTGGGGGTCCCGCCCGAT